GCATAGTGACTCATCGCTTGTCTGCTCGGTGGTGCTACTGGCAGCAGCCAGAGAGTTAGCAGGTCCCCCCCACTACGTCACACCCACTTACACAGGGGAGAGGTTATAACCCATCCCCCACCTCCCCTCACACACCCCAGTGCTCCCTGTGCCCCCCCAGCCCCTCTTACACAGGGGAGAGGTTATAACCCATCCCCCACCTCCCCTCACACACCCCAGTGCTCCCTGTGCCCCCCAACCCCACTGTGATGGTGCGTTGGGGGTTCCCCATCTCCTGCACCCCGAAATGGCACCAACAGACTCCACCAGCCAGTGGAATTGAGGGTGGTTTATTGCTCCTCCAGGATACAGCATAGCACAGATGTAATCTGGTTACAGAAACTGGGGCTAAGAGGCCTCAGTGCCCCCCTTGAGATGGGGGGATCCCAGCCCCCTCCCCAGCTCTTTTCCTCCATGCTCCCAGGCAAAAACTCACTCCCTCTCCTCCAGCCCTGCCCCCCAGCCAGGGCAGCATTCACCTTCCTTTGTTTCTCTCCATGGGGGGGTAGCTGGTCAGACAGGTTGAGACCCTCTTTGCATGACGACTCATCCCCTGCCCTTCTGGGGGGTTACCACAGAGCCAGCATAGAAAGCAGCCCAATACCCCCACTACATCACACAAGGACACCATGTTGGAAGGATGGGGGGCTGCAGCTGCACCTGCCCAGTTGCTGCTGCTCTTCTGCCTCTGGGGGAGGATAAAGTCCGCACCCTGCAGCATCCCTCCTCTCAGCAGCTGGGAGGAAGGGGCAAGGCGAGCACTTTCCCTGTGCTTCCTGATAGGGAAGAGGAAGATGACTTGGTATGCACTGCTACAGTCCTCCTCCTGGAAAAAGGGTGCCAGGGATGGGGGATTTAGGAGCTGGGCCACCCTGGATAGTGGGGGTGGGTCACACACCCCCAGCCAGCCCCTTACTCCTGCCTGCTTCTAAACAAGCCAGCCTGCAGGAGAGCCTGGCTGGAAGCAGCTGCAGCTGAGCCACCCCTAAGGTTTACTTTTACCTCCGGTCTCAAGAGGAAAAAATAGACATAAAGGCATCCCATTTCATCTCAATAGAGGACAGAGTAGCCAAAAAAACAGGAGAGTCCTCTCAAAGATGAATGGCCGTCCTAAGCAACATAGGGCCAGCTCAAGCAGCCATTAAAGTCAAAAGTATGTTTGTCCCATCTGTGATCTTTTTACTGCTGCTTGGTGTAGGAACCCTCCACCCAGCACTGGGTTACTCTTGGCCCAGATTAACTGCAGGTGAGGGTATAGTTTACTGGACCAACTTCAGTTAGCTAGAGACAAGTTTTTGAGCTTCAATCTTTTTGAATTGTGCTTATCACATCTGGACCTAGTTCAGTAGGGATTTGTTTAAACAATTCATCGCAAGCCAGCTTATAAATCTGTCTTGCACTAGTCTACTGTCCAACTATCCACCGATTCTGCCATCCTGCACTTCAAGTCCCATTGAGCACTATAGTAGTGTGCTGCCTTCAATAGGAGTACATTAGGGTACAGTGAATGCAGAGTTATTGGTTCACAGGGACAATAGGTGGCTGGCTATCAAGTTAATTTATACCCCAACAGCCACATGCTTAGAGCTGAGAGGGTAAGAGAAGGAAAGCAGAGATACAGCTAGTCACCTTGATCAGGAGAACAATATACAAAAGTTATAGCATTGACTCTTGCCTCAGTGTTTCTAGCAGAGTCCTTTCTCAGTGTATTTGACAAGCTGCAGTACTACAGTGATTGGCTAGTTTGTTCCACAGTGACACCAAGCTCATTAAGTGTCAACATTGCTTAGTAAAATATTTTAAAGAGTCACCTGTTCCCTCCTTTTATGTATAAAGTATAATGCACTTGGTAAATACACTGACAGTGAAAATTCAACATAACGCTGACCAGCACATGCTGTGGAAAGGCACAGTAACAACCCTTTTGGATTGAGTGACAGTAGCAGGCAGGTACAGAGATTGGAGGCAGTTGTCTGTCCATGCAGTTTTTTCCCACTGAACGCTCCCTGGAGCTGGCTGGAGCTCAAGTCAGCGAAGGCGTGCACTCCTTCCTATGTATCAGAGGGGTAGCCGTGTTAGTCTGGATCTGCAAAAGCAACAAGGAGTCCTGTGGCACCTTATAGACTAACAGATATATTGGAGCATAAGCTTTCGTGGGCAAAGACCCACTTCGTCAGATACATGTAGTGGAAATTTCCAGGGGCAGGTATAAATAGGCAGGCCAGAATAAGGCTAGAGATACCGAAGTTAATTCAGTCAGGGAGGGCGAGGCCCATTTCCTATGTAGCAGCTTGTTCATTTTTCAAACAATATAAAAGCAGCAATGGTTTGTGTACAAGCGACAGACATTCTATTCCCTATGCCATGGGGCAGGGTTGCCATCAGTGCTGGTCTCTAGAGGGCTTATACAAAGATTTTTCCAAATGTATACTTGGCAGAACGTAGTGGTGAGGCAGAGGACTTTGGGACCATGTCAGTGCAACCTCAGCAGACTGCAGACACTAGACTAGTGCACAAAAGCCAGAGTACCACTCCAAGCCACAAACATAAATCTTTAATGTGAGTAAGACTGGCAAAAGAACAGCATATTGTACTTACATTTTTATACTTAGACCAAAACTCCTCAAGCAGAGGTGCTATAAGAACAAAATGTTCCAACATGATAAACTGCAACATACAGCCAATCAATGCATGGTGGATTCCTTTCTAACACTCCATTACACTTGTGAGATCAGCTTTAGAGTTATTTGTTATTAGGTCCTTTATGTTCCTAGAAAGGAAATACGCTGGGTCAGGCCCTGCCCTCGGCAACATATACACTTCTGCCACTGACTTCAACAGGAGCTGCAGGTGTAGCTAAACACAAGAGGTGGGTCCAGCATATCAACTGCCAATCTGTGATGTTCACTCATCACAGGTTAATTTATTCTAATGATGACCTTGTAAATAAGAGCCCTGAAAAGCAGGAGCTCACCAACTGTGATACACAGAGATTACAAAGCAATAATTAAAATACATATTAGTTGTAAAACAAAAAAGGAACTAGATTCCCCCAATACCTAAACATGCATCTAGAAGACTAACACATCTAGGACAACTCTGCACCTCTGCAAAAAACAAGAAAACCTCACTCCCCCACAAATCAAAGGAAATCAAAGAATTAAGTGAATTATCAGAGGCTCAGCAAGGGAAAAAATGGCTGGAAAACCCCAAAATTCTGGCCCCACTAATGCATGAGTATTTACAAATACTTTAAGCTTCCACTATGGGAAAATGGTGAGATTTAACTGTTAATTTCAGATACCTGCCTTGCCAAATTAATGGGAAGGCCGAGAAGCCAAAACTGGACAGCAGTGGCTACAGTTACATTGCTTTAGTTCATGATTCTGCACATACTAGCTGCTGTTATTCTGTGGGTAATTTCACAATAGCTTAATCCTTGTGGTCACCACTGTGGCTGGCACAGGGAACTGAGAAGTTTCCTCCCTAATTTTAAAATGCATCTAGTTACAGATATTCGACTCTTCCCACACTGTTATAGACCAGGTTCCTTTCGCTTTAGTTGTAAATGCCAAATGAACTCCATTACAGAAAGATCAACCCAGATATTGTTTTTCACTTACCTAGAATAAAAGGCCTGTGTTATCTGAAAATATTATTAAGGATAGGCCCAAATATGTTGGTCATTGTCATGAAGATGAACTGAAGTTGTTCAAGAGGGAAATTATGGGCAAGTTTTATTTGTCCCAAATTAGCTGGAATACTGAGATGTTTCTCAAACACTGGAAATGCAAAGTGAGTTGCTAAGCACTTAAAAAAAAGCAAGACAAATCTTAAGTTACTCTAAATGTGCCCAAACTGAAAGGGAAAATGTGAACTGAGGTAGCACCGGTGCTACTGATGTTCTCAAACTCCAATTGTGCGAAGGGGCAAGTGAATGTTCCGAAAGGGCATAAGTATTACAAATGAGACGGCAGGCTACGTTTCCAACCACAGCACTAGCTCTAACTGCTGCATTCACTGGGTCATGCCAACCAATACATGTGTAAATCACTGACCTGTGCTGAAATCAATTCATCAGATTTATTTATTCCTACTAAAACAAAGTCCTGGTAAACAGTACGGAACTCTGTATCTTTACAAACTCACAGCTATCTGCCCAATAGTAAAAATTCAAAACTACAAAAGATGAGCTGTACTCAGTTAATATAAATGGGAAATTTAGGCTTTGTGTAGAATGTTTATCAGACTATTTACAGTGCAATACAGATCATCTGAGTTCAGATCTCGCCAGCTTCTCTCTCGTCTGATCTCTTGGGACAAGATTTGCCATTTGTGCTCTCATGCCATCTTTCAGAAGAGCTCTTCTCTCTCCTCTCTGTCTCGGGACTTTGCTCTTGAAGACCGGCCTCTAGAGGATCTGAAGTACAAACCAAACCATCACTGTAAAACTTTGCGTCTAAAAACATTTATGAATGCACACTTGATGGCAAAGAGCCATTCCTATCAGGAAACAAAGTACAATGCCTCAGGAGGCAGGTGCTTAGGTCACCGATCAGTCACCCTGTCGCGAACTGAAAGATCAGGTGGTCTCTTGGTGAGTTTTGCCTAACAGTCACCATGACTGTATAAGTCAAGTAACATTTTTTCAACATATGGGCTTTGCATCCTCCCCCTAAATAGCTTGACACTAGAGACTCTTTAGGGTGTTTTCCCCCAAGGTCTGCTGGATGACCTCAAAGGGTGTGTGGCTCCCCTAACTTAGCTCTATTTCTGTGTCTGACAGCACTTTTTGAGATAGCGGCTTTCTGCCTGGAGTGCTCCTTTAACTTAAACGGACTCTCCTCATTGAGCTCAAATGCTTGTGTAGTCTGGACTTTTGGTACTTTGCCTCGAGAAATGTCAGTTTTGCCAGCACCCTCTAATTCAAAACAGAGCTGTAACTTTGGACTCAGGGACCACTGCTAGCACACACGGTCATAAGATAGCAGGGATTTTCATCAAGGCTTGACTACTTCAGCCTATGCCGAATTAAGTATACTAGCTTCTCAGACCCAACCTTAAGAATCAGCCTTCCAGTAGTGACCTAGGCTGACTGCCAAGAGCCAGATAATCATCATGCACCCTTCAAAAGGTGCTATTCCCCATCAGGTTCTTACACTCCTGGTACCTCAAAAGAGCATGGGAAGCATTTTATTCTAGAGCTCGTAGGGCACAGAAATGTTTCCTCTGCAGCCACCACAGGGTTTTATGTAAATGCAAACTTACTCTGGAAGGCAAGGCTGAGACACTATTGCAAAGGCTTCCATAAAACCCAGATTCATTACAGCCACCATTTTGCCTTCATCGCCACGTCTGTTCTTCAGCCCCCCACAAGCTGCCAGCCCTGTTTGAGGTAGTGTATCACTGAATCTCTCCCCGCAATGGGGCCTTTTGCCTGTAATTCCATGAGTCTCCAGGTGTTCGGAGAACTCTGCTTTGCTAAGGGGAGAAGTCAGCCCAATGGAACAGTAATTGTCCGACTCTCTCTTTAGAAACGGGAATGCCGCCAGCTGTTTGCCAATCATCCGGCACCTCCCCAGTCCATGAGTTGTCAGAAATACGTGTCACTGGAACAGCAGGTTTGGTACGGCACATGTTTATCCAAGGGGGCTGGTTTGTATACATTCACATTTTCTGAAGGGTTCCCTTACCTGCTCTTTAGCAATAGTTATTACAGGCTCTTCCTCACTTCCTAATTGTCCAAACTTCTTTTCTTTATTTTTCCATGTTCAAGACAGATTTAAAAAAGGACTTTAGTATCTCAGTCATTTGAGAGGCAACATTATTTTCATCCCCCCTCATGTATTTTAACAGACCTACTTTTCTCTGTGTTGCATCTTTCCCTCCCCCTCACATAGCCATAAAACCCCTTTGATGCCTTTTAGTCCCACAGAGTGTGTGGAATGCCCTGTGTGTCACTTGCATTGTACTCAGCTGGGTCCAAGGAGGGGATGTGGTGCTCAACAGCCGCCTCCAAGCTGTTCAGAGCACCATCGGAGCATGCTGAGGCAAAAAACCTGGTGATGTGCGCACAAAAGGATCAGCTTTCAGGCCCCTGGCCTGTGAGCTTACAAGCACTCTGCACCCTTGAGGTGCATACTTTTAGATGCACCCTGATGCCCAATATCCCTTTTAATTTGCTTTTCACAGGCCAAGAGGGAAATTCCAGATTCACCCCAGGAGGCTCTTTGGCTTTTTCCTACAGAGGCATGAGGGAGGGACTGGTTTCCCTAGACACCTCTCTCTATGCTGGGACTCCATTACACAACAACTTGCTCCCCAGCCCCCCATCTGCAGATAACCATAGGAAAGGGCTTCATAGGCTTGGGAGTTAGTCACAGTTCTCATAGACCAATGATTTTCAACCCGTGCTTTTCTGAGCCTTGGGGGTCTGCAGGCTCTAAGATTTCCAAAGGGTCCATAGCACTCTTCAAAAATGTGTAGAGGTCCACAAACGAAAAAACTTTGAAACTTTAGTTCCTAACACTAAAGTCAGTCCTGCTCCCCTTATGCCTGTGGGGAAAGGCCATTCCTACCAACGAGTCCCCACAGTGGTGCTGTGTGCAGGGAGTACATACTTGTGTTTTGAACTCCTGTCTCTGGAACCCCGGCGGTGACCTCTGCTGTGGCTGCGTGAGCGGCTCCGATGGCGTCTGTGTCGGTCTCGCTCACGGGACCTGGAGCGGGACTTCCGTCTCTCACGGGAAGTCGATCGTGAGCGCCTTCGCCGCCTGTCCCGAGACCGGGATCTGAGAGAACATACAAGCTGTCTCAAACGCCCAGGTTCCGTACACAAGACATCACCCTGCCAACGTGGTCACGAGTAACAGAACATCTGACGAGGCGGCAGCAGCCAACTTCAGTTATGTGTCAGTACAGATCCTTCATAAGTAGAAAGCAGCCTAGCCTAGCCCAGCCCAGCCCAGGGAGCGTGCACCATCCTGGCCCAGAGTGTGATCAACAGAACCCAATGCTGGTAAATTCTAAACGGGGAATTAACTAGCAAGCTCCCAACCTCAATGCCCATTCAAGCATAGTCCAGCAATCAGAAATATGATCCACACAAAGGAAAGAGGAGCTGAGGAATTAGTGGCTATAGGGAGAGTCAGAATGTGGAGGAGTCACCAGGCTCTATGCAAGAAGAACAGGTTTACTCGGTGACAGGGACACAGCGTAGCACAGACTTGTTAACACAGGAACAAGAAGCAGGCAATACAATCCAGCTTTGAGAGGGGGGCATAGAGCCCACACCCAGCATCTTCCACTAGCCGAGAGCCACTCACCCCTCGCCCAGCAACTGGGCCCAGCCCTGTCTCCTATTTTGTTCAGATTCCTGGGCAAGGTGTCAGCTGGTTGTTCCCCCCCCCCCACCTAGGCTCAGGTTACGAGAGAGCCTGAGCCATTAAGTACAGTGCTAAGATGAGGCAGCATCCCTCTCAGTGAGAGCCACACCCAATATTCCCATCCCCAGCCGGGTGCCAGTGTAGGGCCCGGGGAAACAGAGGCATGCACACAGTTACTGCAGAACAGCACAGGACAGTAGAAATCACATATTACAACAAAGCAAACAGAGCAAACACAATCCTCACTCCGTCACAGGGAGTGCCATGTAAGATCTTTAAACAGACTGAAAATGGACTCTTTCCTATGAAAATGCTGCACTTTACAAAGTGAAGTCGTTTAAATCTGTCCCAAAACAAGCACCAAAGGGCACCAATACACTTCTAAGGAAGGTTAAACAGTAACCAAATGGTTCCTGGTCCAGAGTGCCATTGTGCAGATGCGCCAGGCATATCTGGCATCCATCTGCAGTTGCTGGAATCCCAATGACTTTGTACTTACAAACTGCATTAATGGGACTGCAAAGCTAACACAAACGATACAGACACTCTGCTGCGAACAGGCGTCCCGCGTAGTCACTTGTTAAAATGCTAGAATGAACGTGCTGAGAGTAGTCGGCACTCCTCTCAAGTTCCTGCATTCCTCTGCCCACACAGACCACTTTTAGAAACTAGAGAAAGGAAGACCCTCAAAACGCATTGTGACTCTCTCACTTTCATTCAATGAGGGCAGCAAGTGGGTCTGGAGCATCGGGGCAGCTACTGACTATTCCAAGATTTCTGATCACTGTATCTAGGTGCCAAACAACATTAGGTGGGAATGAGCATGTGGACATGCTACATTTGAAGAAGCCTTTGTAAGATGTATACACTCACCTTCTGCGATCTCTATTTCTGGAGCCAGACCTAGAAAGAGGAGAGCAAAGTTGATTTCAGAGAATGAACAACAAAGAAAATTTGTGACATCACTACAGGGTTTTGTAAGATCAGCTATTCTGTAATAGCTGTTTTCAAGGACAGTGCAGCAGACAAAGTAACTCGGCCCCTCAACGGGGACCACCAGTGCAGTGGAAATCAAACGTACATCAATGGCTTGTTCAACTTCAAAAAAAATGCATTGGTCTAACTTGGTTTTAGATGCCTCACAATAATTAAATGCAAAGCCAACACACACCATTTGCTGCAGTGTGGAGCATGCATGCTCTTTCTGGTAACAGCGTTTGTCTAACGACATACACCGGTGGGTCGCAAATTGTGGTTATGGACCCCGAAGGGTCTGCAGACCATGCCTAAGGGTCCGTGAAAAACTGTCATTAGTACAGACTAGTGGTTTTGAACCTGGGGTCCACAGTCTACATCTAAAATTTCCAAAGGCATCTGCACCGCCATTAGAAGTTTTTTAGGGATCTGCACATGAAAAAAGGCTGAAAACCACTGCCTTAGACACATGAAGTAGAGATTTCTTGGGATCATGATTTTTTTTAAAAGCTCCTATAAGGAGCTGCGTAACAGCTTAGACTTAAGTTTACATGTTCATCCTTTAATTGCGCAACAACTCCCTTTTGGCAGTTTAACGTCTATTAACAGAAAATGACATGAAAGCAGTGTTGAATGATGGGGGGGAAATCTTGTTTTAAACGGGCACCATTAAACAATCCCTGGCTAAGAGGACAAAACCCTATGCTAAAGGAGGAACCAAGAGGGCACATTTTATTGAAGCCGGTATGCATCGTAACTCATCCATGAGGAAATGTTATCATTCAATTACAGCACTGAAAGATAAAAAGGGAATTCAGCCAACAGAACAGTAACAAGGTTGGAACTGAACTTGGGAACTAAGCAGATGTAGCACATGCTGAGACGGTGCTGACTTAAGTCAGGCTTAAGAGGCAGATGATACATGAGAAAAAAAAAAAAAAAAAAACACAATGTTGTCTCACTCCTGTGATGTAACTCAACTTGACAGATAGAATAGCAGACCCTTGCTATAGACAGGCAATGCTTAACATCATTTCTGGTGCTCCCAACTGTATCTTCAAATAAAACCATCACGCTAGCAGGTATGGAATCTAGTAGTCAGTGCTTTTGAAGGGAACATTATCCGATTCTCTGGAAGAAGCCTGAGCTCTCAGAGGGGTGGGTATGTATGCTTTGTAAGGGTCACAGGGGTGGGTATGAATGCTTTGTAAGGGTCACAGGCTAAGGAAGGGCTGCGGTATTTGCTCGGCAAAGCCATATGGGGAGCCTGCTGGTACCAAGCAAGGTTCTAGGCCAACACTTTAAGCGCTCAGCAGAAGCACTATGGTTCTAGCGTAGAGTCCAACACTCACAGGTGGCACATGAGCAATCCCACACACAAAGGGCCATTAGCCTGTCCCTCCCAACCCTCAAGAACCAGGCTTTTGGAAGAATGTAAGTCAGGAGAAGCTGAGAGGAAGCAGCCTCTGGGGGAACTGAACCAACATAGTAGGATAGTCTGACCAAAGAAACTCCAAGCAGTTTTTCAAGGCAGCCAGGTCAGGTTTGGTGAGTTTCTGGCAGAAACAAGCTCCTCCCTTGAGAGGCTACCCTGGAAAGGACTCTGGCAAGGCATGGGGTGGATCACAGGGATAGGTTACCAGGAGGCAGCTGGACTGTAGGAACCTTGCATTTCTATGGCTGCAGGCCTGGCAATTCAGCATGGCAGCCCCTCAGATCGGTCCGAGGAATTGCACATTGCAGCTGCGTTTCTTAACTGCCACAAAAGCAGGATGATTGAAGCAAGGTCTTTGAGAGCTGACAGCTGTTTGTGGCCACCCAAAGGCAAGGAAAGGACTCTCTGGACCCTATATTGGGGTTCTCGCTGCAGAGACGCATGCAGAAGTGCCCATAGACTGTGGGGCACTTTCACAGAGAATGGGAGACTGCCAGCTGATGGGGCAGGCAGAAGTTGCCAGTTGCCCCCGAGGCTGCCACCTGCCAATAAGCACCATCATGCTGTCCAGGCAGTGCTTAAGCCATCTGGTATTCCTTGGAATACCCTTGTCTGTCAATCATACTGGCGGAAACAGGAACAGAGCATTTCTGGGTCAAATGACAAGGAGACAGTAGTGTACGTTGGTTCACCCGCCCAAGGCATTTCTATCCATTTTGAAAAGGAGGCGACAAAGAACCACCCACAGCTGAAAGCCACCAAGAAGAGCAAGCACCCTCTGGGATTTCTCTTGCTGTGCCCCAAAAGGTAAGTCAAAAGCACCTCACTGGAAAGGTACGAAAGGCTGCTGAATAAGCGAAGATGCCTGCTAGCTGTTCACTGCCTGGACATCTTTGCTCAACAATTAGTGCTACATCTTAACCTGTCCATCCATAGAACAGGTGCATGGTGGGAGCAGAGACAACTGCACCACGTCAGTATTTTAGGAAGGACAGAGACTGGGCTGTAGTTGAAAACGTGCATTGAGACTTGGTTTCTTCAGCAGGGGATAAGAAAAGGCCTGAAAGTCCGGAGGAGCCTCTCGTTTTCATCAATGCAGCTGAAGATTCAAATCATATCTAGTGTGTTTTCATCAAATGCACTGCTAGGAGCTCACAATATAGTGCCAGGAATGAGCCAGACATGGCTTCAACATAATTATTCCCCACTGTCCATGCCTCAGCAGATTTCTTTCAGCCCATGACAGCAATGCTTTGGAAAGGCTCGCTGGCTTTCACTCACCGTCTGCCCATTCTCTCCTCTCTCTCTCGCTCTTCTCTCCGCCTCAACCGATCTTGGTTTCTTCTCTCCTGTTTTTCTGCCACCATTTTCTAAGTTGAGAAAGAATTCACTGGCTATGTTAGACACACAAAGGAGCAAACTAAGGGCGGGGGAGAGGGGGGAGAACCTTGTAGTTAGAAGCAAAACACAATAATTCAAAAGATTTGTGAGACATTTGCTTTTCCCAACACATCCTATGTCTCTTTAGTGGCCTGAAAAGGATTCAGACTCCCAGGCCAAATGGAACCATTATGATCCATATGTCTGACCACCTGCATAAAATTCAACCCACAGCACTTGCCCAAAATTATTTCCTTTGTATTAGAACCCAGCTTTAAAAAAAATAAATCTGATCTTGATTTTAAAAGGGCTAGTAATGGAGACTCCTCCACAATCCTCGGTATGCCTTATTTCCAGTCTGGCTTCATCTAACTTCAAATTCCACCCACTAGATCTTGTCAGACTTCTGTCAGCTGGACTAAAGAGCCAATTAAGAAATATATAGACTGGGATCAAATGACCCTCTTCCTCTCCCCTATGTTATGCAAAACAGACTCCAGGAGGTCAATGTATCACGCCAGAGGCATGCTTTCTACTCTTCTAATCATTCTCATGGCTCTACTTTGAACCCTTTCCAACTCAACAACTTTCTTGCACCGTGGACACTACAACTGGACACACACTTTCAGCCAGAGTCAGACCAGTTCAAATTTAGAGGTAATACCACCTCTACTCCTTTGAGATATCCCTGTTTATGTAGCCCAGGATCACAGTAGCCCTTCTGGCCATAGCATTGCATTGGGAGCTCATGTTCAGATGATTACCTACCATGAGTCACATTTTTGCAGAATGTCTGCTTCCCAGGATAGAATCCCCTCCGTCTGTAGCTATGTTTTATTCCTGGATACTCGCATTTACATTTAGCCACATTCAAATGCATTCTGTTCTCTTGTACTCAGCTTAACAAATGATCCAGATCATTCTGGATCAGTGACCTGTCCACCTCATTATTTACAACTCTCCCAGCTGTGGTGTCATCTGCAATCGGTGTGTGATTGTGTTTTCTTTCAGGTCACTGATCAATGTTAAATAGCACAGAGCAGGGGTAATCAATGATTGTGTGTCAAGGTCCAGATCCAGACTTCAGAAAAAATGCAAGATAAGTTTCAGGTTTTGTTCAGAAGCATCCGGCAGTTCGCATTTGGCTCTCAGGCCGTCTGTTGACTACCCTGGCATAGAGCCAAAAACCAATGCCTGTGATACCCCTCTAGAAACACACCTGTCCAATGAGCTTCCTCATGCACAATTTCACTCAAACCTTGTTAATTTAGCACTTGAGTGTTTTTAATCAAAAGGTGTTGCATGGCATCATGTCAGATAACTTGCAGAAGTCTGAGCATATTACTACATCAACACAATTACCTTTATCAAACAAACCTGTAATCTCATAAGACATCAAGTTGGTTTGACAGGATCTAACTTCCATAAACCCATGCTGACTGGCATGAATGATATCCTCCTCCTCTAATTCTTAATTAATCAAGTCTTTATCACCTTGCCAGGGATCAATATCAGACTAACAAGCTTATAATTACTCTTGCCATCCTGTTTATGCTTCTTAAATAGTGAGGGCATAAAGAACTGCTTGTGAGAAGAGACAAAGGCCAGGGAGCAGAACACAGATGGTACGGACTTTGTTAGAGTTAACAGGTGAAAAGCAACTGCTTCATTACTTGCCACCCCTTTATTCAAAGTCCCATGTTTCCCCTGTAGTATTGCTAACGTATACCAGTACACGGAAGCAACTGTGGCACCTTATAGACTAACAGATGTATTGGAGCATAAGCTTTTGTGGGCAAAGACCCACTTCGTCAGATGCAGGTAGTAGAAATGTCCAGAGGCAGGTATAAATATGCAGGCCAGAATAAGGCCAGAGATAATGAGGTTAATTCAGTCAGGCAGGGTGAGGCCCACTTCTAGCAGCTGATCTGACCTCCGATGGCCTCTCACCTGTCGGCCAGTGTGCTCTAAAATACTAAAAACCAAAATGTGTCTCATTTTTAAAAGAATTGCTGCTTACGGCCCACTCTAGGGACTTCAATTCAGAACACCCCAAGAGCTCCATTTGCACACGGCGGAAGCCAACCTAGTGTCATTCTTTGCCCTGCCCTTCTATGGGTACAATTTCAATCTCGCAACATTGCAGGGCAGAACCAGAAGCGAGGTTAGGCAAACCTCTACCTGAAGTTTCATCGATCTTGAATTCAGAGCAGCTCAGAACAAAGACTGGGTAGAGTTTCCATACAAGCCAAAGACAGAGGGTTACAAAACAAATTAAATGAATGAGCAGGCGCAGGAGAGATGTCCAGCTTCTGCTGGCCAAGACAGCAGGATGGGGTTTAAAATATAACTGGATTACCCTCAACTGGTCCAACTTTTCACGGATCTGAATGAAGCCCAAGTGTAATTTGCCTCCAAAGTGATCAGCGAGACGCCGGTCATTGTCATGGAGACCAAGGTACGCTGAACAGACCTCGCAGACGCGCAGCTTCTGCTGCTGGAAACTAGATGCAGGCATGGAATTGCGGTATTCTTCCTGCGGAGAGGCAGAGATGGCTCAAAGCCAGGGGAAACCACCATCACACACACACACGCCACCCTCAAAGAGCATGGAGTGGGAGTCTTACACAGCAATCTCATTCTCTACATTTGAACCACTTCTCACACTACAGTGAAATCCGTATGAGAAATTATTATTGCTGTGCAATCTTTTGCTTTAAAAAAAGACCTAAAAAACCCACGTGCAAATAAGAACACAGGAATTGCCAGGCTGAATCAGACCAATGGCCCATCTGGCCCAGTATCCGTGCTCTGATCCTGGCTAGTACCAGCTGCTTCAAAGAAAGAAACCTGGCAGCAGGCATTGTTAGACAGATGAAAGCTTACAGAGAACATTTCATCTTTTTGCTCTGAGCCAATCCCTTGCTAACCCACTGTGCAGATGGAGCTGGGAAGCTCCCCAGCTGGGTACTATGTGCTCTGCTTAATAATTCAGTTCACCGTTACATAAAACATAGGAAGTGTTGATTGGCAAACCTCTGCTTCTTTCTTCTTTGCTCGGACCTTCTCCACTTCCATCAGGATCTTTTGGGATTCATCCACATTTCCTTCAGCCCCCAGCTGCTCAGCTTTAGCCAGCAGTTTGCCTATGTCTTCATTCAGCTCGTGAACTTTTTCTGCCTAAAGAGAGGAGTTTGTTTTTAGTAAGACAAAGAACCTTGTAAAGCTTGTGGGATTTGCACCAGTGAATTCTTTATGAACACTTATAGATAAGCCACTCCACCACCATCATGCCCCAGGGCTGGCTCCAATCGCCAGCAGTCCCACCCCAGCGAGGGAGAGAAAACTGTTCTTTGCTTGCAGGCCCCACATCGGATCCCTTGTTGTTCCTGCCTGCCTCTCACCGCTATCAGGATCTTTAAACAACGGCTGGAACTTCCCTCAGGCCCACTCCCCTGCGTGAATGGCAGCTCCCTCGGGGGGACTCCCTCCCTTGCAGTTGTAACACCACAGTCTGAAGTTGTAACTAATGGGTTGGAATAAATAATTACACAGGAAAGGGTCTCAACATCCAGGTCTTTAAACTAGCCCGGCAAGTTTCACTGACATTTTATCTGAACCTGGAACTGGTTTGAATGCACCTCACGCCACTAGCAGCAGAGCAAGCTTACATTACCTTCCGCCTCAGCATTCATGCAGGCCAGCTAACAGAATAGTGCCAGCTGGCAGAACTTTTACTTTTAGAACACAAAGTCCTTTGTCACGCTCCAGTATGATCTACATCACCTACTCAATCCGTTCGCCCTTTCAGTATGCTGTGCTATCATTAACCTTTATAGTGAGCGCGCTCCCCATCGCCACAGGAATCACCTGTATCTCAAATTCAACTGTAACGATTCAAATACCGTTAACACAGGTTAGTCTCTCTAGTGGTCTAGCCTCACTGGAGCTGAGGCCTATCTGCAACCTATCAGGAAAGCCACGGAATGTCGACATGGAGATGGAACGCTTTAGAGGACTCAGTATGCAGAAGCAGCAGCTGCAGGCAGCATCCTTATTATTTTATCTTGGCCCCAGCTAAAGATGATACATCAATATCTACAGTGAATGACAAAGTTTTCCATCAAGTCCTACAGCTGCTTGCAAGATTCCAAGTCAGAGTAACCAGCTGGTTACAAGTTTAAGGAGCACTGGATTTGTGCTGAAGAGCTCAGGGAACATACACAACTGGCTTCCAAGTTGAACTGCTACAGCAAATGTCCTCCCAAGAATCATAAGTGGTGGGGGGGGAATAATAGTAATGAAAAATCAGGGTCATTAATAGGGATGGGGCTGTCGGACCTTGGTTGGCACTTGGGAGGTCGCCAGCAGGCCAAGATCCCAGGACATCTGCAGCCCGTATAAAGGTCTCATGCATTGTTCACATCCAGCACTTGTATTTAGAGACTCGGCATTGCTCAAGTCCTTAACTCAACTTTTGTTTTGCTGCATTTAAATCATTGCTCCGGGATGGGGTGGAGAAGAGAGGTTCAGTCTGCAGGCTGCCCCCAGGAGACAGGACTACCCAAGCCCCCTCTCACTGCAGCAGGTTGAGGCCAGGTGCAAAGCACCTCTCCATGGCACTTCACACGTCTCCCAGCTGGAGCAGGTTCAGGTTCATCCGCCCCTTGCGCTCCCCAGTCAGACTGAGGAATGGAGCAAACCCCCAGACAAAGGGGAGCAGCCAGCAGTGTTCCTGTATGAATGGGACGGGGGAGCTGCAGCCTCCCCCCATCCTCCCTAAAGGGCACCTGATACAAAGGCAGCAGTGCAGGGGGAGGGAAGCCCCCACCCCACGGATAAATGTGCAACTGCTGAAAATTGTAACATCCCTGCTGTGGCTGGCTTTTTAAAAATCCCATTTTAAC